GCGTTTCCCAGCCTGTTGCTTCTAAAACAGTGTCCCCTGAAGCTTTATGAATCTAGTACCTCGTCTCCTTTCACGGTCCACTTTCTAACTTTGTAATTTTTCTCTCTCCTCTCTTCACCACAACACATCCTTGAGGTTTTCCTGAAGAGGAATTTTGTCTTTCATTCCACATCATTAGCTTTTCAGTTTCTTTTATTTTTTAAAGATTTCATTTATTTATTTCTAGAGACATGGAAGAAAGGGAGAAAGACAGGGAGAGAAACATCGATGAGTGGGAGACACATGGACCAGTCACCTCTCTCATGTCCGCTCCCTGAGGCCTGGCCTGCAACCCAGCCTGCAACCCAGGAGTATGCCCGGACCGGGCTCTGTGGAACAACACTCAACCAGCTGATAGTTAAGTAGTTTCAAGGGCCCAGACTGATTGCAGTGTATTACAGTATAGGACATTTGTCAAACCGTGGAGGGAATTTCTAGTAAAGCAGGTTATTTTACCATGCCTAATAACAGAACATTATGAAAAACAAAAAAACATAGATCAAAATTTGCTATGGAGGAAAGTTCTCTTACACATTTATATTAGAAATAAACTGGAGACTTCTGGTCAAGATGGAGGCGTAGGTAGACACACTTTGTGTCCTCACACAACCAAAAGAAGGACAACAACAACAAATTTAAAAGCAAAAGAACTTACATGTACGACCCATGAACATGAACTAAGGTGGGGGAAATGCTGGTGGGAGGTGGGGTACAGGGCAGAGGGGAATAAAGGGGAGAAAGAATTGGGACAACTGTAATAGCATAATCAATAAAATATATATTTTTAAAAAAGAAATAAACTGGAAACATAAAAATGCCATACAATGGAGCCTAAGGGCAAGTAACTAATTTTATTTCTTTTTACACAAATTAATTTTTCTGTATTCATTCATTTATCATCTTCAATAGATATTTATAGCCTATAACCCATGGTACTTTTGAACCAAGGTATGAAGTACTACTGAAGATTTTTCAGTGTATAGTTATTGAATTTTGGGGGCCATAAGATGCACCTAAGTTTTAGAGGAGGAAAATAGGAAAAAAAATTTGAAGCCAAAAATGTGGTAAAATATTTAATACCATAAATAACATAATATTTCACTGATGTAAATGTAAACAGAACTCAAGAGCAGAATTAACAACCATTATTCCTCCTAAGTTTGCGGGGGGAAAAGTGCATCTTATAGTCTGAAAATATGATAAATCCTGCTGCAATAAAATAAAGTCCAAATGGAGAATATTAAAAGCAGTTTCCTTTGGTTTGTGCTTTGCACATTTAAAAGATTGTTATCACTTGGGAAGGGAAAAATCATTTCAGTTTTTTAGTTAGGATGAGGCAAGGTAATTGCCCTTGACACTAGCCAGGAATAGAGAATTTAGAAGTCACTGATAGAGTTGCGTTCCTGGTTATCACAGGTACAGGGCGTTCTCTGTTCCTGCTGAGAACCAGGGGAGAGGTGAGAGGCCTGGGTGAGTCACATGGCTCCTGGGGAAGATGCTGGCAGAAGAGCAGCAGCTCTGATCAGCCAGAATTGGTCTCAAAGCTCCTTTGACAACTAGCGGATTATGTGAGGCTGATTGGAAAGAGCAATCGTGCAGAGTATACATGCATTTGCTTTAAAAAAAAAAAAAGAGCCTCTGTGCTGTCAAGCATCCTGTTATTTGGTTGTTTGCTGTGTCTCTAAAAGGAGTAGAATTGGGCTTACAGGAATAGTTAATTGTACCAGAAATCTACATATGCATGCCAATGGTTTGATCCCTAAGTCAGACCATCTAAAAAATATTTGCAAAAATTATAATCACTTTTTAGCTCCTTAAATATAGGGATCTCAGCAGATAGATGCTAACTTGCATTTATGTTCAAACATAGATGACAAATTTGGGGTCCTACTTCCATCCCTTCTGCCATTTGGAAGTGGCAGTATCGTGCTCACTGCCTCTAATTCAAATTATCTTCTTATTGCACATCTCACAGCTTCTGGGAAAAGCTGGAGTGTCCCTCCCCACGTGCCAGTTATTGCTTACAGAGCTTGATTTTATAATGTCACAATCACATATTGTCAATAGTAAGTTACTGGAAACTATAGTCAAATTACCCAGGTAAGGTATATGAAACCTATATTAGCCTAATAAACATAGTTTAGTATTATTAACCTCATAAAAATTTTTAAATAATCAAAGGGAGCTGAGTAAAATGACTTAAATCCCATTTTAATAAGTGGTTTTGTAAGTTTTCTTGATTATAAAAAGTTGAAGAAATTTAACACTTTATTACATAAGAGAAAATGAAAATGTAATTTAAGTGAGTTTTCAGATCATTCTAGACCAGGCTCAGAACACCTTCTGGAAGATGGTTAAGTGGTCAAATATATTTCATTATTGGTTGAAAACGGGCTGTAAGAGCTAGATGAACCTTTCCAACTGTTTATAAAAAGAAGAAAAAAGAATTACTAGCTACATATTTTTAAAGACAACTATGTTGAAAATATAGTTTTTTACCTTTTAGTCAAATATGCTAAAATCTACCTGATGTCACTAAATAATGAGTTCATTTTACATGTTGCAAATTTAGAAATTGAGATAATGTGAACGTGAATAGTTTTGGGATGAAGTTTACTTTTACTTTATTTATAATAAAGTTTTCTAAGAAAGTGAACAAAATAAACAGGCTAGGATGTTTCATCCTACCAAGAGGGAATAAATCATTTTCAAGCTCATTCCGCCCCAACCCCTCTCAACATTTGTTGAGTGCTCACTCTGTGGGCGTATTCATTTTCTCCTGTAGCTTCTCTAACAAATTACTGTAAACTCGGTGGCTTAAAACAACACAAAGTTCTCTTAAAGTTGTACTGATCAGAAGCCTGACACACTGGGCTAATAATACCAAGTGTCCATGGGGCTGCATTTCTTTTCTGGAAGCTCTGAAGAAGTATGTGAGATCGGCCTTTTTTTTTTTTTTGCCTTTTTTCATTTCTAGAGGCCATACATCTGCATCCCTTAACTCATGGCTTCCTTCTTTCATTGAAAACCAGCAAGACTGCATCTCTCTGACCACTTTTTGTAGTCATGTCTTCCTCAGACCACAGCTGGAGAAGATTCTCAGATATTATGGACGCATGTTATACATTGAGTCTACCCGGACAATCCTGGACAATCTCCCCATGTCAGTCCTTAACATTAAACACATCTGCTACATCCTTTTTGCCATGTGTGATAATCTGTTCGCAGGTTCCAGGGACTGGGACCTGGGTCTCTCGGAGGGGGCCATCTGCGTGCCACAGTGGGAGGCAGTGTTCGGTTCATAGGACTCTGAACCAGCATCAACAGATACTAGTGTAGCAATATGATTTTAAATAAATCTGGTGTATAAGTTTAATAAATTCATATTTATTAAGGAAGGAAATAATAATCAACTTCCTTTAAATAAAAGGCTTCCCTAAAATGTTTGAAATGCTTCTATGTACGTAAAATTAAAAAATAATTTAATATTGTTTACTAGTAAATTATTAATAATAACTCCATTGCATTCTACAAGTTTATGTGTTTTACATAATTTAATTATAATAAACAATATAACTGTATGTACATAATACTGTTTTATAATCTGTTGTCTTCACTTAGTTCTTAAACATACTATTCCGTGAACTGAATGCTCCCTTCCACCCCTTGAACCAGGGAGAAGGACAAACGGAAAACAGGGCACGGGCAGCACAGAGGCTCTTTCTGTAGCCGGTGCACCCGTCCTGGGCTGATCGTGCCTCCTGACCAGCTTCAGAACAAGCCGGGCAGGGGAGCATTGAGACCCATGTGAAATAAAATATCTGTATTTTATTAAGCTTTAATCCTGATGTTAGAGAGTCATGTGTTTACAGTTTCTTGCTAGTATGGATGATGCTTCAGTGAACATTCAATTATTTGCTGTTTTCTGCTTTTTTTGAATAAATCCCTTGGGAAAAAAATCCTTGGAAAGAAATTATGGACTCACAATACATGGCTATCTACTGCTTGCCTACCCATTCCTCTCTTCTTATTTATTTATGGAACCGTAGTTTTGTTCAGGCAGTAGGGTGGTACCCTGGTCAAGGACCATGGGTTAAGCCCCAGGAGGTGAAATTGTCTATAAGCCAAACCTAAAAATTTCTGTCTCCTTTGCCAGTGACTGGCTTAAGAATTACCTGTGCCTCAACTCTGTCCAAGAAGACCAAGTTGAAGTTTATTCAAAATTTTATTGGGAAAAATAGTCCCAAGCCCTGCCGTCGTGAAGTCTATATTCTATGTGAGCCGGTGGTAAGGAGGGAGGGAGAGACAAAGGAAAGTAAGATACCGTGTGCCGTGTGATGCTGGTAAACCATGGTTTGGGTCTGGCTCGGCCGTTTTACATCATTAAACCTCGGTTTCTGAAGTTGCGAGAAGGAGAAGGCAATCATATCTGTCTTATATTGTTTATTAAATGCACGTGAAGAACTTGACATAGTGCCTGGCAAATTGTTAGGACTCCGAAAATGTTATTATTATTACTTTCCCCTTTCTTGCTTCTACTTTTTCTTCAGTGGTTTTTGGTTTCAGTTAAACTACTAAAGTTTAAGGTTGAATGCATTTTGGTTTTGTTGAAGTGTTGGCTCTCATTTGGGTATCAGCCTGCTGGTGTTTTCTGCAACAAGACAGATGATTTTGGCTAATTTTGAGATGTGTTATTTTGAAACTTCTTAAATCACAAGGATCAAGAGCCTGAGAACATACACTTAAAAAAAAGCTGTGTCCTGTCAAATAGCCAAAAATGTGGGAACATCCGTAGGAATGTCTTGTGTGATTCATAGCTATGTTCTATGAATATAAATGTTGCTCGATCATTTCATTGTAACCACCAATTTATTGTAAACTGACTACGTGCAAAGTACTGTGCAGAGGAGATGAATATGACCTTATTAACCTTTGGGACAATTATTGTTCTTCTTTCTTAGATAATGATGTTGAAAATGACCTTTAATCAAGCATCAGTTGAGCACTGCAAGACACAACCAGAAAAGCAGAAAGAATGCAACTTCTTCTTAATAGCTGTCCGCCTGGCTTCACTGAACCAGATCTTGGATCCCTGGGTCTATCTGCTGCTAAGAAAGATTCTTCTTCGAAAGTTTTGCCAGGTAGCAAATGCTGTCTCCTGCTGCTCTAATGATGAACAGAAAGGGCAGCCTATCTCATTATCCAATGAAATAACACAGACAGGAGCATGAAAGAAAACACTTAAATCGATTTGCATGTTCACAGCTTTCTGCAACAAATAGCCTTACAACTTACTGTGAATTTAGGCATCTGTGGCATGCCATTGTTTATGCATCAAAGTAGAATTTTTGATGTAAGGCTGAATGGTCTCAGCATAGATAATTCCCTGTGCCAAAAGTACTGAAAAACAAAAGAAAATATATGAAATAACAGTCTAGTGTTTTGGCTTCTCTGCCATTTGTAGCTGAATATGTGATTATTTATAAATGATCTTGATCTGTGCCGAGTGGGGTGGGGGAAATTAGTATTCCAGTACACTGAGCACACACAGTGGGTTTAATACGTGTATTACCAAAGACAAGGCAATTGTTTGGTTCTGTTCAGAGTCCTTGGTCTTTCGTGTTCTCTTTCACTTTCTGCTTCTCTTTCTCTCTGTGTCACTCTTTTGCCCCCTTACACTTTTCTAAAAAGTTGAACTAAGATTAAAAAATGTATCTACAATATTCATTACTATTAATGTTATTGAAGTATTGTTCAATATGTAAATTAGCTGATAAGGTTACAAAGTTTAAGCTTTGGTTGTGTTGGTAATTAGGTTTACTTACTATCTGAATAAGAGCCAATTCCCTTTACTTTTAAGTGTGTGTGGACTTGTTACTGTTCAGACTGCTGAACGTTCTTCCTTTGGAACACATCTTTAATTCCTACAAGCCTGGAGAAGATTCGTGAACCTGACCATGGGGGTCAGTGCAGTGACTTTTCAGAATGCATTTGAGGACTGATTTGAGCACTGATATAAGTATTCTGGTTAATTATCTCTGATTTTTTCCACCAAAAGTATTCCTTAGTCTTTGGGATATTTAAATACTAACTCTGACTCTAAGACCAATAAAATTTTGAGAGTTCCATAAAGACTTTTCATAGTTTGGTCTATTTATTGAATAAGGAAATAATAATATTGACCTTCCTTGCGGCATTTTCTCTGTCTTCTCCTCAGAGTAGTTTTATCTAAATACTTATCATTAAATATTTTTATTATAGTCTACATGTATATAACCTTAATAGCTAAGCTTTATATTTTTTAGGCACAAGTAGATCGCAACTTTAAATTTTGATAATTGCACTTTTAAAAAACATTTTCCCAACAAACGCAACAGTCTTTTAAGTTAAGCCTACACAAAATGTTCTTTGTATTCTTAGAAGCATTCATTTTGTAAACTAATTAACATTTCCTCATGATTCTGATCTCCAGGTTACTTTACTATTTTCTAGTTTAAAAAAAAACAACAAGATTTTTTTATGTAGTAACTCCATTTGTCTTTGAGTTTTGTAGGTGTTTGGAAAAGAATTAGCTTTAACAGTTACTGTATATCTATTAGATTTCTACGTACACTAGCCTAGGTCAGTCTGGAATGGTCATTTTAAATGACCATGTCAAACTGAGTAAGAAGGTAAGATCTGCTGGGAGTATTCACAATAGTTCTGCAAATGTAGGTTTTGGAAAAAATGGTGATAAATGACCAATGTGAAAACCCCATTTAAAAATTTCTCTGTACCTTAGTCGGATTATCCCACAGGTCACTTCCTCGAGGTATAAGACAAAACCATGTACTTCAGGAAAAAAAGTTCACTTAGATGACCTTGTCTTAAAAAGGCTTTACTTCTTGAGTGGACCTCTGACCCCATGTTATAATCAGGTAGACACATGCACAGTGGGGTTATTTTTTCCAACACCGAGCACTGCACTTGGGATACAGAAAGTGTTCAAACTTTGTTCAGTGAATGAACGAATAAATGTCTGCCCAACCAGAGTACCATCAGTAAGGCACCACCACACGGTTGAAGTGCTTTATGCCATTATAGTTTGTCAGGCTGATGAAGTGAATGATCCCTGCTTATTTAATTATAGAAATGTGAATTTATCTTCAAATGTGTAGTGTCATACTGCTGCACAACAAAGTGCTTTATTTGTATTAATAATTTAAGATACTGATAAATCCAAGAGATAATGGAGATTACTGTCAAAGAAAAATCCCTTTTTATTCAACCACAGAAATACATAAAGACAAAAGAGCCTGAGGCTTGTTCTTAACCACAAAATAAATTTATATCCCAAAGACCTGGTAGGAGTGCAAAAATGGCAGGTTTTTGAGGTGGAAAAGGAAGAAATTATGAAATGGCATTTGAGTTTTCTTATCTAGGCAGCTATTTGTTAGTCCAGGGAAAATCTGACAAGAAATAGAAGTCAAATAATTTTAGTCTTGGGATGATAGTTGAGGTTAGATTTCATAGACATTGTACAGAGTCTTTAGATGTGGTTTGGAAGTGGACACCTATAGTCATCATAGAAGAGTATGCCTATTTCCAAGTTTAAGTTCATTGGCCTTAAAATTCACTCTCATATACTTAGTTTATCTGAGCAGGGAAAAAAAACCTCATGCATAAATTGTGACAATTTCTAAACTTCATATTGTTGGTAAAATAAATAAATAGAAGTCTAGGAGACCATGTGAAAAGAAATGAGTGAGTAGAATGTGGAAATATAAGCAAAATTAGCCATCATAATTTTTACAAAGGAGTCCTGATTTTCTAATGGTAAAGTTGTACAGCTGCACTGAGTCATAGAAGAAAATCAGGACATGCTACCCAGTAGGAACAGTTTGCTTTTCAGATGAAATAGGTGTGGTGGATGTCCTGAACATATTTTAAGTTGAAAAGGGTAATGTGTTATCTCAAAATTTACCAAATTTACCCATTGCTGTATCCAAGAAATTTTAAGGAAACCTAAGTGTTTAATCATGCCAGATTTAAATGACAATGAGTTTTAAAAAGTGAATATATATTTCTACTTAACGCTTTCTTAGTATGTGAAAGATCTCAGGACCATGTCACAGAAAAGAAACCGTAGAAGCTCATGTGCAAGTTAACTGTGGAGGCCCTGTGACGGCACCAGCACACTGAGACTTTTCTACCAGTACTTTTAAATCGTGCTGGTCCCGAAACGAGGTATTCTAATATTAAATTTTTAAGTAAAATTATACTTTTTATTTATTTAATGCGTTTTATATTTTTGTTGGTTTTGACTCCAAATTAGTAATTGGCTTTTAATCCCACAATTGTGTGGAAAACCATTGTTTTTCCACAACAACAGTTATCTAATAGTTCTTTTGTATTGGGATCAAGTTGGAGACAGAAAATAGGAAACTTTTGTTCTTTGTAATTTCAGGCACATATATTGCCCGATGCTTTTTATAATTTAACCCCAAAAGTCACTCTTGAAATCTACAGGATCCTGGAAGACAAGTGGCTCAGAGAGACTGCGGAGTATTTACTACTGAAACCATATGGAATAATGAAAATTTCTATGATTTATCTCCATGAAAAGTTTAGGCCATATTCTGTGCCAAATCTTCACCACTGCTGGTTTATTGCTGGTTTTGTGCACATGTATGTCTTAAAAAAATCTCTAAAACTGATGCCTAAATAAATGTAAAGAATTGTTCAATGAATGAATTACATCATTTTCAAAGTGAAGACTTTAATACTGTGACAAAGTCCATGGGACTGTTTTCTAAGTTGCAATAAAATGTTATAAGAGGTGGCATATACCTGATGTTTCACCACCCAGGTTGTGATAGAACCAATGTAGAAATTTGAAAAGCAACCTAAGACTCACATACACACTTGTTAAGAAGCTGAAGCTCAGTATGCTATGACAACTAGTAGGTGGTGATTACATAGGAAGCATGGAACAGAAAATTCTTTTTTTTCCATAGAATTTCATTATATCAGTATCATTTTATATAGATGCTAATCTCATACAAATGTCCATATTCATTTGGATTACCCCAACCAAAAAGATTTTAATTTTATTATGAATTTGTATCTATGGTTATCAAGTAAAATCTTGCCCTCGTCTTCCTTGAATGCATCAAATCTACAATAAAGTCATTTTTTTCAAAAAACGATGAACAATTCATTTTTAAGTCAGATGTGAAGATATCTTCAAATCATCCTACTTAACAATTCCATCTCACTCTCCCCTGTGCTCTACTCTTTTCAGGTATGAAAGAAAAGGAATTTTTTATTTTATATATTCTCTATTTTATAATTCCTAAAAGAGGATTGTATTTAAAGGCTTATAATTTATGCAAGTTGAGTTGCAAACCATTACATTACCATACCATCAGCTGAGTATGATTTTCTTGACATCTGATTGAAATACAATTCAATCAAATATATACCATATTCATTTATATGTCACTTTTTATTTATTGAGAATAAAAATTTTTTTCAGCTTCATAGCATAAGCAACCCAAAGGGCTCCTGGGTTACATATTTCTTCACTAGAAACAAGACTGTTCCTCCCAGATCCCTTCCCTCCAACCTGTTTATTCATATTTATTTTCTCATAGAGAGAAAGTAACAAATATTTGCTACTGGCAAAGCAGGGATTGTTTTTAAGAGGAGAGAGGATGGCTTCATATTTCTAATATGCTAATGTCCTTATGAAATAGGTTTGAGTCTTTTTTTCTTTAAGATTTTATTTATTGTTGGAGAGGGTAAGGGAGGGAGAAAGAGAAGGAAATATGTGGTTGCCTCTCACATGTGCCCCTTACTGGGGACCTGGCCTGCAACCCAGGCATGTGCCCTGACTGGGAATCAAACCTGTGACCCTTTGGTTCGCAGGCTGGTGCTCAGTCCAGTGAGCCACACCAGCCAGGGCTGAGTCTGTTTTTTTAATAAGCCTGTGTTGATGAAACAATTTTATCATTGGAGTAAAGATAGGAAGGAAAGAAATTACCTTCAGGAACAAATCAATCTTTTCAGGCTTTTTGAGCATTTTGGAGATAATTCCACATCTGAAGTTATTTTCAAATGTGCAGGCCGTAAATTCTTTTGTCTCTTGATTTAGAATTAG